CTATTTCACATTTATTATATAGGGCACTACAAAAGTGTTTTTTTTTTATTCGTCCGACTTTCCTAAATGTTGTACATTGAGATCAATTGTTGAACTTCTAAACTTTCTAAAATATCTTATTCTTCTATTTCATTCCGATTAGTTACATAGGTGAACAGGTTAGGATTGAGATTGGATATTTCGTAATAAGTTCAATGTTCTAGTTATTAAAAATACAAAATAAGAAAACTAAAGGGATTCGGTGTACAAAATCATATGAAATTATATGTTGATCGAACATCTAGAACTAAGACTTGATGAAAACAAAACTTTTGTAGTGCCGTTTGTAAAAAAAGAAAGACACAAAATTTCGTACAATTTCAATATCACCAACAGTTGTATCTAAAACAACTTTGCCACGAGTAGCTGGCTCTTGAATGTAAATATTACTCATCTAAAACATCATAAATAAGTAGATGTAAATATTGGCTAAATGCGTTTATAGATAAAAAGAGATTCTCTTTTTTTTTAAATTTAACGTCTATAGATGTATTAAATTAATACTATGTATGAGATTCTATTGAAATCCATTTGGATTATTCGATTGCCAACGCCATAAATCTTCGCCTATAAAAGAAAAATATAATTTTAAATCTGTACTTAAAAATAAAAACTTATTTACACATTTCATCTAAATTTCGTTGAGCTGTCCATCCAAGTTCTTGAGCTGCTAATGTTGGATCAGCATAAACAAACAGTTGCAAGATCACCTGGACGTCGAGAACATTCTTTATAAGACATTGTTTTGCCTGATGCTTTTTCTAATGTTTTAATCATTTCTAATACAGAATAACCTTTACCAGTACCAAGATTATAAATCTAAATAAGAAAGAATAAAAAAAAAATTTAAATCCTTATCTATTACTAACTTTTAAACCACAATTCATTTCAAATTGTTTCATTGCTGCAATATGACCTATGGCTACATCAACAACATGTATATAATCTCGAACACCTATACAAATTCAATAGTTTTTTAATGATAAGAAGATAAATTATATTTATTTGCTTATGCTTACCTGTACCATCTGCAGTATCATAATCAGTACCAAAAATATTAACATATGGTAAACGACCAACAGCTATTTGTGCAATGTATGGCATAAGATTATTTGGTTTACCAATAGGATCTTCACCAATTAAACCTGTTTTATGAGCACCAACAGGATTAAAA